TACCTGTGAAGGATTTCTATTGGCTGATTTTTCAAATTCCCATCCTACTGACCTGGCCGGGATATGAAAACCAAATTATATAAATTTGTATGGCCTAACTTAATTGCTATTAAAATTTTTTTTTCGAAAATGCCTATAATGATAACATCACTGCACGTCGTACGTAGAATGCTACAGTTGTCAATGATAACGATTTGCAAATCAAATACTATTAACTAAATTCATTGAATTAATAATTTATCATTTCCAATCCGTGTTGGGCTCGCTTATAAGTCCAGTTTATAAGTCCAGTAGAGCGGACTTTTGGTCCAGAGCCCAACACTGTTTCCAATAGTCTTTTTTGCAACTTTTTATCATATACAATGTTAACAAATTTATTATAGAAGCAAATAATACATGAGAATAAATAAAGAAAATATATATTTAAAAAACAAAAGATTTTCAATAGAGTTATGATACACATTATGCGGGTAAGAAAGACCTATTCTACAACTTAGAAACTAAAAATTACGTGCAATTTTTATCATTGAAAATTTATTAACAGTAATCAATTATAAATAAATATATAAATAGATATATATATCAATTAGAATATTTTATACTGTATAAAATAAAACTGAAAAAAAAACGATAATTTCGCATTCATGTGATATCATATAAGATCTTGTAATTTTATTGGTCGATCAAGAGAATTTATCATCGTGCAAGATTAAAAACTCTTCTAAAAAAAAATTAAAAAAATTATAAATTTATTTTTATGGTATATAAAGCTCATTATTAAAAAAAAAAAGTATAGCATAGCAAGTTCTGATTGCAATTAATAAATAAATAAAAAATGAATTCAAAAAAAATTTAAGGCTATTAGTGCTCGAATGAGGGCCGTCACAACACTCGTCAGCGCGGAGGGGCTCGCCCCACCCTAGGTATCGAACCCATCACAGGCGCGTACTGCTCAAGGAACTATACCACTACACTAACCACCCTAATCAGCTTAAAATTTTTTTATATCAGTCTTTTTATACAGTAACAAAAATTTTACTTATCAAATTATAATTATTCGCTAATAAATACTGTTCGAATAAATAATTTATATTTATACGTATGTTTTATAAACTGTTAACTTGATAGAAAATCATTAAACACTTTTTTTTATGTTATATTTTGTCGTGACACTGATTTGATTGACTAAACTAACACAACTAACACAACTAAATATACACAATAGTTTAGATAACAGATAATGTATTCAGATCGTAAACTTTCGCGTCTCCCTCTTCATTTATCTATTGAACAAAAACAGCTTTCAAAACTAGCTTCTTTACCCCGTAATCCAATACGAACGACACAAAATTTATTGATTACTGATGAGAGAGTTTTAAGAAGACGTTGTAATTGGGAACCAGAATTCGCGAAAAGTGTACAAAAGAAATGTGCACAATGGATAGCACCAAAAAATTGCACTGTAAGTCTTCTAATATTTATATTAAAGTTTTTTTTTTAAAAAAAAATTTTTTCTAAATAGTGATTCTTTTCTAGGCATTAGATCTATTAAAAGATACTCATAAAGAAACTAAAGAACCTTTCATGTCAACGTCATTGCCTGAGTTAGATGTAGCATTAGGTGGAGGTATACCATGCTCGTCATTGACAGAAATTGTAGGGCCTACAAATTTCGGCAAAACCCAATTTTGTCTTACATTATCAATTCTTGCCACATTGCCCGTCAGCATGAATGGTCTTGGTGGAGGAACGTGTTATATAAGTACCCAAGGAACTTTTCCCGCAGAAAGGTATCATTAATGTCTTTTTAATCTTGTTATTTAATTTATTTTTATACTTGATTCTTATTTTGTGATCTATATATATAGGTTGATGGAAATCGCAAAGTATAGATTCCCATATTTATTCGGTGATGAAAATCCACAATGTCAGGATAATCTTAAAAAAATGACCGATGCAATTCATTTAATGAAAGCCAAATCCTCTAAGGAGTTGGCGAATATGTAAAAAACAAAACTTTAATTTATGGTTGAAATTTTTATTTTTTGTTATTATTTCCTTATTATAAAATGGAATACTGGATATATTTATTTTGATAGATTAGAGAATTTTCAAGAATTCATAATCGAGAAAAATATTAGATTGTTGATAATCGATTCATTTGGTGCACTTATAAAAAAGGAATTTATTGGTAAAAAAGATTCCTTAGATAAAAGAAGTCGATTATTGGTTAAATTTGCCGCATGGTTAAAGTAGGTGATCATAATATTTTTCATAAATCGTATAAAAACAATTTTACTCATTATATTTTTAATTTAATTTATTTTCTATCTTAATATTTAATAGGTTCTTATCTGAATCATTCAATATGCCGACAATCGTGACAAATCAAGTTATTTCCTTTAATAATATACGCGAGGCATTAACAGATCTTACAAATGGTATCTATTATAATACATTGATTGTATTAATGTGTTTGTGGTCGTTCCCTTATATATTAATTAATCTTTACATATGATTTCTAGAATCAGATTCAGGTATAAAACCAGCACTAGGAAATACATGGTCGCATGCTGTAAACACGAGGTTGATGATGGATTACTGTGACATTAATCCCGTTATAATGCTCTTAAATCCTGATGTTCCAAGAAATCTCAGGAAAATAAGAGTCGAAAAGTCTCCAATCGGCGCACGAAAAACTTTTTACTTCACTATTGAGAGAAAAGGGATTGTAAATTTTGACTTGAAAAATGTAATCGACAATATGAGAAATTGTAATCAAGATCGAACTTCAGATATAAAAAGGTTAAAGATTGATGAAGATGAGTAGAATGTATGATGGAGAATATTTAACTTGCAATGGTTCATATAATAACATGGTTATTTGTATGAGGATGAATAAGTCGATAATTCTCTTCATATTATAGTGATGTTGTAAATATCAAGATATGTAATAAAAACTTTCCAAGTATTTATGTAATCTGACAAAAAAATGATACATATATGATGGTAGAAATTTAATCAATAACTACAGCTATCAATATAAAAAAACTATTTTCCTGTCGCTTTATATTTTTTATAAGCATTTTTCTCAAACGAAATGTTAAATACGTCCGAGCTGCTATTAGGATTATCACAGGATTCGACGCGAGCATAATAAATTATAAAAGTAATAAGCCCCTCGGAGTCAACCTGCTTTGTATTTATTATCTTCAGATTATGTTCAGATTGTCTTTGTAAAATTTTCCTTTATTTACCGTATTACCGCGAAATAATGACCATGGGCGTTATTTCGAGGTTCGGTCCGAATTAAGCTTAATTTAGGCCGGAGTTTATAATTTCACCCCTGCGCGTTGTTTCGCGGTAATACGGTATATGAATTCTGAATTCATCATAGTTGAGCGGCATTAAGTAATACTTCCTACTGCGAAATTGTCAGCTGACGCTTATGACTTCGTTAGTAAAAATTTTGACGAAATTTGTTAATTCCGGCTCAACTGACCACGATTACCATGAATTCTGTTTCGTTAGGGAAGTGCTGAATTGGGTAAAATTCACCACCCAAATTTTTTTCAGATCACATAATATGATCGTCCAAAGTGAAGTGCTGTTTATTACGTAATTTCTTTTTTATTAGAAGGTCAGGCCCACTCCCCTCTAGGTGATCGAATTAGCAGCAAATCATAATGTTTAGATATAACATATAAACGTGATGGATTTGTTAACCCTCTTAAAATTACGTAATAAACGCACTTCCCTTAAATCTTAAGTCACCCCAGCACGATCAGTTCGTCGTAGCATCCATATATCACAACGTCATTTATTATCGTTATCATTTTTTCTAACAAGTTTGATTGGAGGCGAAATATGTTATCTTATTAATAAAAAAAGGTTGACGATACTAAAATGTTGAAATTTTTATTAATTTGTTTATATATACTTTTCAATACGCGTAAATATCCAATTATTAATTCATAGGTATGCCGGATTTTTGTTAGGAGATATGCCAGATTTAAGTCAAATGAAAAAATATGAGGTAAGCAATGCCAAAGATCGTTTAATATTGATATTAACGCCTCGATAACATTAAACAAATTGATTTTAAGTGCTATTGGCAAGATAAAAATCAGATTATGAAATTATCTGTCTAAAATTTTTATAAAGACACGATAGCAGGGTTGGCAATAATGGATATTAATGGATCAATGGATATATGTCCATTAATCCATCGGCCCATTAATTTTTAATATGAAGTAAAAGATGCGGTTTAAGTAAAATGATGGTCTTATCTCTAAAAAATCATATACTGTAATATTCTATTACTGTAATTGACAAAATTTTAATGCTACTTTGAAAATATGCAAACCAAGTGTGAAAAATCTTGAATCTTGTTGTCATATATCAATCGAAAAATTGATAGCACAAGAAGCACCTGAGGAATCACCTGTGTCATATAAAGGCGCTAATTTTGTAGTTGAAATCCCACTAGTTATAGTAGAAATCTCACTGCCCACTTCTGTAGTAGCATTTTGAGGTACAAAACCGCCTTTTATTTTAATTTTAGAAAAAAAATTAGCAATGCCACCTGCTTTGGGTCTTTTATTAGGATCTGCGTCCCAGCAGCGTCGTATTATTTCCGTGAATGCTCTTGGAATTACATCCGACAATATTGGGCGAGTTCCTCTAAAGATTTCAAGTTGCAAGGCTTTATCATGTACTTGCCCTGCGAATGGTGGTTTAAAAGTTGTCGCATAATATAACACCATCCCAAAAGCATAAATGTCTGATTTTGCCGAATACTCTTTTTTAGTTAAAATTTCAGGGGCAATATACGAAAGATTTCCAACAATGTTATTTGTTGTATTGGTATGGTCTGGAGGTCCAGTAAACCCGAGATCTGCAATATACCAATTATTATCAATCCTTCCTCGTAGGATATTGCCAGGATGCAGATCACGATGCACCAGTCCCTCCTTGTGAAGGTAGAAAAGCCCGGAAACGATGTTCTTACACATATGGTTTATATCTGACCATGTAATTATTGAGTGATAACTACCAATATATTCACGCAAATCGCATTTCATCCGATTTAACACCAGCATATAATCTTTAGTAACGGGATCACGTGTGACACCATAACAACGCACTATCGCATTACAAACACTGGATACATAGAGGTGCTTTTCAAGCTATATAGTAAAATTTGATTAATATGAATATGTGAATACAAAAGAAAACGACATCAAATATGCTAACCTCATTCTTGAAATCATTTTCTGGTTGGTTCCAATTCAACTTCTTCAGAACAACCTTAAAGTGTGTCAATCCTCGTGACAACGTTTTCGTCGTTTTCATCCATCTAGTATACAGTCCTCTCATATATGTTGCAGTATAAACGGAAGCGTATCCACCTTGAGTTAGATAATCGACATTTCTTAATAATTCGTAAGGGATCCACTCGGGAATAGCTTCAGGTATCGGTGCTCTCGTTTGAGCAAGAAGAATTTGACGGTCTATATGCTTGTCCATTGATGTCCATTTAGTTGCTTCATCCTGTAGAAAATCCACGACGCAATGTTGACACCAAACTATCATATATCCTGACCTATCACATATATCACACCTATACGTGACATCTTTTCCATACAATAAATTATATCGGTCTTTAATCATTGTCAAACTCAATATAGCATCATCTTTTTCTTCTTGCGTTAATCTATTATCATCATAAACGAATGCGATTCTCCGAAGATATACCACATTACATTCGCCGGAAAAAGCATGTTGAGCACGCTCGATAACACTTTCAATCATGTCCTCACGAAGTTTCGAGTATTTATATCCGCGGAGAGAATTTAGATTACGGGTGATACTATTTTGGATCACATCCTTCCAATCTGCCCAATCTGTAGAGCATGCCATTATTGAAAAAGTTATGGAAAGGTTAAAGATCGAACTTAAAAAATAAAAATCCAAATATCGGTAACGTAATATTAAGTTTAATTCAAGTTATGGTAGAATCGAGATTTATTATTGAAAATTTTAAAGGTGGTTTTTTTTAACTCGAATTAATTTTCTGTGTTAATTATGAAAAGTGATACTTATGACTAATATATTACTATATATAGTTATTGTAAATATTTCATATCCGATAAATGTAGTAAAAAATGCGATAAATGTAGTACGAAATGGAAATGGGAATTAGTTATTATAATCTAAATTTACCGAATTGTTTCTATTTCGAAAAATTTTGATTATCATGGTCAACCTAACTTTAGAGGCTTTGAAGACACGGATAACTTGTTTATAAAACACGATGTTGGGAGGATACGCAAAATGGTTACAGTGTGCAACAAAAGATTAAAGAAAAAATTTTTTATTTTTTATTATTATTAATACGTAATAAAATACATAATAAATATCTTAAAAAAATTAGCTTTAAATATAAATAACTTTTGATCTAGTGACCTGTTTTAGATGATTTATTAATCAAAATGATCAGCTCACTGAGACGATTCTAACGAGCCCAAAATAATTAAAATCTGATCACAGGTACATGAGATTGTTAATGATTTGTCTGTATTATACATATTATATAAAGTAACACAAATCGTTAATGATCTCGTGATCTGTAATTAAATTTTAATGATTTTGGGCTTGTTAGAATCGTCTCATTAAGCTGATCATTTTGGTAGTTAAAACATCCAAAACAGATCACTGGATCAAAAGTTATTTGTGTTTAAAGAAAGTTATTAATTACTGTAGTTAATTAATATGGATAAATCTATTCGTTACACACTTATTTGTAACAGTTTGATTTATAACTCAAAATTTTACTAAGATAATCTTTTGCGCTACTACGTAATGAAAAATGATCCTCTCACAATTTTGTATTAATCTTGACACTAACTTTAAACCTAACCTAACACTAACCCTAACACTAACCTTAACATTAGCAGGCTGTAACAGCCTGTACAGCCTGTTACAAATAGAGTTTTTCAATTACCGTATAGTTCCGAAATTAAATTAAGCACCCCTTTTTGTTATAAGAGGTGCTTATTTTCGGATATAATTTGAAATTTTAATTAGTTTTTTTTACTGTCTTTTATTTGGCCTAGGTTGGAGCAGAGATTAAAATTAAATCTTTTTTTAATGTTTTCTTGATTATAAAAATAAATAATATAGAATTTTTGTACTAAGTAACTTACTTTCTGTTTCTAAGTAAAACTGTTCCCCAGGTCAGGACGATTCTAACGGCATAAAAATTTGTCCAGTAGAACTTTCACAATTAATTTGGGCGACGATTGTTTACATTGCTTTACATGATCTGCATACTCGTAAACAAAAGTTGCCCGAACTTTGAAGAGCAATTGTGAGAGTTCTACTGAACCAATTTTGATGATTTTACTACCGTTAGAATCGTCTTGACTTGGAGAATAACTTTACGAAGAAACATAAAGTAGGCTTGCTTGGTAAATATCAGATACGGTTATACGTAGGGGGGTGCTTATTTTCGGATATTACATAAAATTTGATAGTGCTTAATTTCGGGGGGTGCTTAATTTCAGATGATTTATTATAACTATCTAATTGCATATACTGTCTATATGATCGAAGTCTCATTTTCTTTGGCATCGCTCATATATCAGTTGTTTGATTCATGCAAAAAATGCATAACGATAAATTTTGTGTATGGCTTCCGAAGGGGTTCGAAATTATCTGCGATCACCTGATCGCGAATTTTTCTGCCATCATTATTCTACCTACGTAGCATTGTTCGTAACTTTACGTTTATTGGTTTGCACAATTGTAAATTTTGTCAGGTTATTAAAAAAAAAAAAAAAAAAAAGAAATCGCTTGATTATCTGGTTTCTTTGTGTAGTTATGTATATTAAAATTTTTGTTTAATTACGTCAATATCATACGGATGTTACTTCTTTTATCACATTTGCAAATCGCGCCACCAATTAATTAATTGGTCCAAAAAATTGCCCCCCACAATCAATTATTCGCACTAGATCATCGAGATTGGCATTTGTTTTCAGCTTTGGGTTTACTAATTTCTTCCCAACTTCCCATTGTACAAATACACCAATTACATCACTGATCAGGGTGGCAAAAATTTCATGTAGCCATTTATTGCGCCGCAATTGAGAATAGATTACTTCTCAAATATTATTTTCGCAACGATTACATATTGATTAAAATTTTTTCTTTTTTTAAATAATTCTTTCCGCTGTTTAATACTAAAGTTTTGCTCTTTTAAGCTTTAGCACTTTAGTAAATAATTTTGTGTTAACGATTAAATAAATTTTCGCCAATATTACTGTAAAAATTTACTGTATCATGCAAAATTTTTAATTGAAATAAACATACCTATTTTAAGTCATACTATATACTACGTATATATATGAAAATCCGAAAACAAAATAAGCATTAATTTTTTTTTGTTTATGTAAATTTACTAATTATTTAGGCTGCACCAATATAATTCTTTGTTTAACATAACCCCCCCCTCCCTTTCAAAAAATTTATATAGTATAAATAATACACATAGTATATATATTAGCCAATAAGAAGAGCTATATAATGAACATGTAATATTTAGGAGGTAACATGGTCCAGAAACATCAAATATTTAAGTAAAGCAATTATATATATGAACAACATATTGGAGATATGCTAAATTCAGTAACGGCTTATTTTAAGTTTCAGCAGTATGCATAAAATAGTTGCTATTAAGTACATATTATTTTTGGTGTATAATTTTATGCAAAAAGATTATTATTAAAATAGATAGTTATTTTCAATGTGCTGCCAGTTTATGCATTATTTCTATATAAAGATATTGAGATTCTTAAATTTCTTGCACCGTACGTTCGTACACTAGGGTTCTGCAAGTGCTGGCATGTGCCCTATTAAAACATAATGCCAGGCACGGATATGGGCACTATGTTTTAGTAGTACACGTGCAGACATTTGCAGGACCCTAGTACATACTTATATATATCAAATAAAATCAGTGCATATAAAGTTTATTTTTACTATAATTTTTGCATAACGATTATACTCATTTTCAGTATAAATGCGTCATCGATTTTGTAAAGTAAAACATATAAAAAAAAAAAAAAGTCATTCTTTCAAACAGTAATAATAAAGGATCTGTTGCCATATCACTAGTATATTTATGACTGAAGGTGTTGGTTGTGAATAGACAAAGATGGTGTTAGTAACATTGCGAAGATGCAATTAAAAGAGATAAAAAAAGCATAGTGCTACCTGCGCTCTGTGAATGTAATGAGTCAAAAAAAATTTTTTTAGTTTAGCAAAAAATGAATTTATTTCTTGCTGAATATAATAGAGACAAAGAACTGAATTGCATATAAATGAGTATAGCCTATATAAGACAGTATATGCTAACTCACAAGCCAGACAACTATACATACATATGTATGTATTGTTTACTTTCAGTCACAACCTTTTTGGTCGAAATCTAACAATAAGAATGATTAATAAATCATAACATACAGTATCAGGTTGGAATTATGCATCATGTATAAAATAAAGACTTATCTAAATAATCAACAATCGTATTCATTCAAACAATGCAATTTCCATATTCTTATTAAAAATAGTTTTAAGAAAAAAAAATTGCGTAAGATATTGGAGTATTTCATATACTAATTAATGTACTTATTATAATACCTTGCATAAGTTTGATTAATTAGTTTATGAAATACCCCAGTAAGATATACTTTTTTTTTTTTATCTGTAGTCGTGTTCTAATAAAAAGACATGCCCAATAATCAATTTCCTCAATTCTCTAAAAATGCTTTATCTCCTAGTTCAGGTTAATGAAGGTGTTAAATGTGTTATTTCTGAGTGTATAATGAGTATAGAACCCATGAGCAATCAATTTTTTGATCTTTTTGATGCAATTACATTAGGACAATATGATGATAGGGAGGTTAAAGTTTTAGTTAGACAAGAAAAGTCTGAAGGCTGGCAAGAAGTAGATAATGGGTTAAACGGTGATTTAAAAATGTTAGAGGTTTTAGGGTTTATGCAAGTTAAATTTTGTCTTGTGCCTAATACAAATTTAGATGTATCAGATTCAACTTCAAATAGTCAAGATGCTTTTAGTATTTTGATGGCAAATTCAAGACAGCTTTTACTTCCTCGACGTTGTAGTGAGCACAATAACTATAACCAACTTTACAATGAAATTATTGAGCTTTTTCAAGCTCAAAAAGTTGGTTGGATAAATGATTTACATAAAACAATTAAAAAAATATTTGTAACCTGTCTTGCAAGTACTCTCTGGTATATTGATCCATATCTTACAACACTACGTGCACGTTCATGCCACCTACCAGATTTTTTTGAACAGTTGAAAACGTATCAGGAGGGTAAATTATATAATGAATATTATCATACCAGTCATCATAAGAAGAATCCACTGTCTCAACAAAAACTCACACATCTTTCGAGTTCTCTTGAAATTTCTATTAGCCAACTATGGGCAAGTAACAATATATGGAATCGAGTAATACCCGTGGTTCTCTCTTTAATTGAAATTTTGAAAAAATACTCAGACTATTTAAATTCAACTACTGTTAGTATGAATGAGCTCCATCATAGCAATGAAAGTGCTCGCAGTCCTGAAAATAATAGTACTATGTACCAAGTTATGGCTTGTGAATATAATAAACTTAAAGATCAATATGTTCAATTAAATAATTTTTTATTTACAAAACTGTTTTATGAACATGTCGATATTCAACACTATCTTCCCAACGATGCTATAGACCGGTATCGATTTATGAAAGTGTTGCAGCTTACATTTCTTCAAGAAGTAATTTATACTTTTTTTTATAACTTATCTAGTGATTGGCGTCGTAATCATGTGATGCTAATTGTCACATGATACAATATATAAAATCAACAATTAAATTGTCATTTTTATATATTTTACCACGTGACAATTAGCATCACATGATTACAATGCCAATCACTAAACTTATCAACAGAATATGTATTGACAAATAAATTTGTTATACTTATCTGACAAAAATAAATTAATAATCATATTTAGTATTTATTTTCAAGCTTCTGGTATTCTCGAGTTGTTATTAATTCATTTTGTAACAATTTATAGTATGTATAGTATTAATAAAATAGATTTGGCTTCCAAAATTCTTTAATAGATTTAGCACTCTTGGAATATTGTACAATAACTGTATGTGATTAATATCTTATTTAGAAAAGTTTACGTTAATACATCATTTTCAAAAGATAGTAATTATAATTTTTTTTTTAGATTAGGTACTACAAAACTATTAATGAGTACATTCCTGTTCTGTATTTACTCATACACGAGATCAATTTTATCTTGTGCTGCCAAAGTTGTTCTTTGGTGCACTGAGGTGTCACATCGGCTATCTAATCAAAACTATGTCAGATACATTGATTATTTTACTATAAACTTATTTTTATCAGTAAAATTAAAATAATTAATCAAATAAAATTTTACATTACTTAGGCTGCACCAATATAATTCTTTGTTTAACATAACCCCCCATCCCTTTCAAAAAATTTATATAGTATAAATAATACACATAGTATATATATTAGCCAATAAGAAGAGCTATATAATGAACATGTAATATTTAGGAGGTAACATGGTCCAGAAACATCAAATATTTAAGTAAAGCAATTATATATATGAACAACATATTGGAGATATGCTAAATTCAGTAACGGCTTATTTTAAGTTTCAGCAGTATGCATAAAATAGTTGCTATTAAGTACATATTATTTTTGGTGTATAATTTTATGCAAAAAGATTATTATTAAAATAGATAGTTATTTTCAATGTGCTGCCAGTTTATGCATTATTTCTATATAAAGATATTGAGATTCTTAAATTTCTTGCACCGTACGTTCGTACACTAGGGTTCTGCAAGTGCTGGCATGTGCCCTATTAAAACATAATGCCAGGCACGGATATGGGCACTATGTTTTAGTAGTACACGTGCAGACATTTGCAGGACCCTAGTACATACTTATATATATCAAATAAAATCAGTGCATATAAAGTTTATTTTTACTATAATTTTTGCATAACGATTATACTCATTTTCAGTATAAATGCGTCATCGATTTTGTAAAGTAAAACATATAAAAAAAAAAAAAAGTCATTCTTTCAAACAGTAATAATAAAGGATCTGTTGCCATATCACTAGTATATTTATGACTGAAGGTGTTGGTTGTGAATAGACAAAGATGGTGTTAGTAACATTGCGAAGATGCAATTAAAAGAGATAAAAAAAGCATAGTGCTACCTGCGCTCTGTGAATGTAATGAGTCAAAAAAAATTTTTTTAGTTTAGCAAAAAATGAATTTATTTCTTGCTGAATATAATAGAGACAAAGAACTGAATTGCATATAAATGAGTATAGCCTATATAAGACAGTATATGCTAACTCACAAGCCAGACAACTATACATACATATGTATGTATTGTTTACTTTCAGTCACAACCTTTTTGGTCGAAATCTAACAATAAGAATGATTAATAAATCATAACATACAGTATCAGGTTGGAATTATGCATCATGTATAAAATAAAGACTTATCTAAATAATCAACAATCGTATTCATTCAAACAATGCAATTTCCATATTCTTATTAAAAATAGTTTTAAGAAAAAAAAATTGCGTAAGATATTGGAGTATTTCATATACTAATTAATGTACTTATTATAATACCTTGCATAAGTTTGATTAATTAGTTTATGAAATACCCCAGTAAGATATACTTTTTTTTTTTTATCTGTAGTCGTGTTCTAATAAAAAGACATGCCCAATAATCAATTTCCTCAATTCTCTAAAAATGCTTTATCTCCTAGTTCAGGTTAATGAAGGTGTTAAATGTGTTATTTCTGAGTGTATAATGAGTATAGAACCCATGAGCAATCAATTTTTTGATCTTTTTGATGCAATTACATTAGGACAATATGATGATAGGGAGGTTAAAGTTTTAGTTAGACAAGAAAAGTCTGAAGGCTGGCAAGAAGTAGATAATGGGTTAAACGGTGATTTAAAAATGTTAGAGGTTTTAGGGTTTATGCAAGTTAAATTTTGTCTTGTGCCTAATACAAATTTAGATGTATCAGATTCAACTTCAAATAGTCAAGATGCTTTTAGTATTTTGATGGCAAATTCAAGACAGCTTTTACTTCCTCGACGTTGTAGTGAGCACAATAACTATAACCAACTTTACAATGAAATTATTGAGCTTTTTCAAGCTCAAAAAGTTGGTTGGATAAATGATTTACATAAAACAATTAAAAAAATATTTGTAACCTGTCTTGCAAGTACTCTCTGGTATATTGATCCATATCTTACAACACTACGTGCACGTTCATGCCACCTACCAGATTTTTTTGAACAGTTGAAAACGTATCAGGAGGGTAAATTATATAATGAATATTATCATACCAGTCATCATAAGAAGAATCCACTGTCTCAACAAAAACTCACACATCTTTCGAGTTCTCTTGAAATTTCTATTAGCCAACTATGGGCAAGTAACAATATATGGAATCGAGTAATACCCGTGGTTCTCTCTTTAATTGAAATTTTGAAAAAATACTCAGACTATTTAAATTCAACTACTGTTAGTATGAATGAGCTCCATCATAGCAATGAAAGTGCTCGCAGTCCTGAAAATAATAGTACTATGTACCAAGTTATGGCTTGTGAATATAATAAACTTAAAGATCAATATGTTCAATTAAATAATTTTTTATTTACAAAACCATTTTATGAACATGTCAATATTCAACACTATCTTCCCAATGATGCATAGACCAGTATTGATTTATGAAAGTGTTGCAGCTTACATTTCCGATTGGCATATATAGATTAGTATTTTAGTCTAAAAGAATTTACACAACCAAATAGTACTTACAGAATATTGGCATGGTTATATGTGTTTAGAACTGTGACTTTACAGAATTTTAAAAAAAGCTACAACTAATTTATAGATTTAATAAAATCTATATATTAATTTTTCTTTTCATAAATTCTGAATATTTTTTAGATATTTACAATTTCAAATATTTTAATTAATTTTTACTATATCTAATTGGTTTATTAGATATTACCAGGGTAATTATTTAGGAACGATTAATTATGTATGAAGAATTCCAGAAATGGAGATATTGAATGATAGACAAGATGAAACACAAAAGGCACGTATGTTAGCTAGGATTCATGAAGAATTATCTTGTTACTATACACGGCAAATGCGGAAGAATGTACTTGATAAGGTAAAATAATGCAATTGATATTTAAAACATCATAAATATAAATATGTATATATTATAATAGCTTTGGCATCTATACTATAGTATTCCTACATTCAGAAAGTCATGCCAGCAGTATTACGGATGCTTTATTTTGATCCTACTGGAAATGCCGCTGTAACTCCTAATGCAATTTGCCATGAAGTAGAAGAGAGATTACGACTAATGCTAATGCTAGCAGATCCTAATATTATTTTCGATTTGCAAACGAATAACGGATTTAAGGGAACAAATTTTAATACATTTTGGGATGAAACAGAAGCATATTTTAATGAACAAGTAAGATTTTATATTTGTATATAATATCTATATATATTTATTATCAATATCTTATCAATATTTGAATATAGAACTTACTTGCAGTAAATGAAAGGCGACATGGATCTATTCTATATATTCCACTAGCATTATCAATTCGTGAACTTCGTGAAACTATAGTGGAGAGATTAAACCATTATAAAAATCCATTACCTTTTGATATTAAAATTCCATCAGATGAATGGATTCGTCTTCAATTTTGTCCTACGAATGCTACTATGACACGAGCAATGCACTATACTAGCCAATTCAATGTAAAATTTAAGGTGCAAAGTCGGATGCTTAGAAAAAATAGTGAAGATGCACATTATTATGCGGCTCTTTTTCGATATCTTAGAGAATTTTGTATTCAATATCGTCAGTGGTCTTGTTTGATTGCTGCTAATGATAAACACAAAGTTTCTATAGGGGAAGCTGTTGCAATTTCTACAGGTGTGCGAAATCAACGCTCTATAGTTGCTCAAGAAAGCATATTGGCTGCTGCTAATCATGATTTCTCAAAATTATCTTTAACACCTTCAGTTATTTTCTTTATATCCATTCCTGATGATATTTCTGGGTTGTTTTATAATGAGCAAGTGTTTGTATCATACAAAGATACAGTTTTTGAGCCTAGCACTGCTATTAGACATTCAACTGAATTTTTAAATGCATTAAATATGCAATATGAATATCAAGCACTGTTACCAATTTTATGCCTTTACACTGATGGAGGTCCAGACCATCGCTGCAATTATGGTTCAGTACAAATTGCACTAATTTGCCTTTTTCTTTGTGGTGATTTTGATTTGCTTGTTGCAGTTCGTACTGCTCCGAATCATAGCTGGACAAATCCTGCAGAACAAATTATGAGTACCTTAAATTTGGGCCTTCAAGATGTAGCGCTCAAGCGTGATTCAATGAGTTCTGAATCAGAAGCCCTATTTCAAATGACTAACACTTTAAATGATATAC